TTGGATTTTATTTCAAGCCTCCCCACACCCATATCGGAGCCAAAAAACTAAAAGAGAAGTTGAAAATCAAGAGCGGAGCTCGGCTGAGCCGCCACAACTGTGACCCAAAAAACCGCTTTGGTGAGCCCGATCCCAGTTTTCATTCCCTTCAATCTTTTGACCATTGTGTTCCTAATCTTTTTCTAGTGCAGGTCGACCAAAGAGAATCCCCGACCACAAGAGATGAACAACGAAGCTACCACACCGGAAAGTCTCTCTACTGGTAACATTTCGATTTTTTTCTTTTCTAGCCAACAAAGGCCATCTAACCTCGTTTTTTGTAGATTTTAGTACAAAATCAGCCAAAAATGGCCAAGTCGAGAGGAGACATCGTCGTGGGCAGTAGAGTTGGCACCGGAGCACAGCAGCGCCTCTGTGCCGAAACCCTAACGTAGCTAGAAAACTTTAAAATGTTTATTTTTTGTCTTTTGAGGTATTTTGGAATATGTGACGTGTATTTTTTATTTCTGTAGAAAAAATCCAAGAAACCTGAAAACCACCAGAAAGTGTAGTGAAAAGGTAGTGTTTCGAATATCGACTCAAGGTAAGAATCTCTCACTCTTTTTTCCGTTACGATTAATTAAAATTTAATATATAATAACGATGTAATTTGTGAATATCATAAATTTTTAATTAATTAAATATAGGTCACTAGTGGAGCCGGTAATCGGTCAGTACGAATTGTTTATTTTATATATCCCGTTCATTACTAAGTCGTTATTGTTGCTTACCACGTGCACTTTAATTCATAGATATATTTGTCCTCTCGTTATTGATTTCTTAACCGTTATTCTCAGTTGTTGATTGATTTGAAATAAATACCCTAATAATATTTTTCTTAATTATTAAAGTATCAATTTTTATTATCTGTTTAAATTTCGTTTCATAGATCTGGAAATATGATATGTTTGTGTGTAATTGGTGATTGGTTGATGACGTGAATATGTGTATAAAAGGCTTACCGAGTATAATGAAAAATGGTCTATGGACCCGATACATAGGGCTAACCCTACCGTAAACATTATCTCAATTGGATGAGACTAAGACATCCCATACCGGAAAGGGTTGGAAAATATTCTTAACCCTCATACCGAATGGAGTATGAGAACGGCCGGTTAATTGACAAATTGGATATTGAGTTAACGCATAGAGGGAACCCCCATGGACCCTCAGGGGTATTGTTAAGTAAGTAAAAATGTAACGTTTAAGATTATTGTTCCTTTAAATGTGTAATAAATTGTTATCGTAATTATTGTTTTCATAAGTTGAATTTGGAAACTTAAAAAGGGTGAGTATGAAGTTTATGTTTTTTTTTTACATTAAATGAATTTATTTATAAAAAAAATGGCTTCATTGCTTATTTTATGATTTTTACTAATCTTTAATCTTCTGTACCAGTATTAAACGTTGAGATTTTTACTGAGTTAGTATAACTCATCTCCTTTATTTAACTATTTTAAATTAAGAAGACCAAGATCCGGATCTTGAACAGTAAGAATGTTGCGATTAAAAGTTACCTCCCGTATTCCATTAGAGTTGCCCAGCGGAGGTTGACCCTATAGGATTTTAGTTATATTTTTATTTCCTATAAAGAAAATTCACGTAACCCTATTAGACATTCAGATTTGTTATACAAGAAATATAAACCTCAAACTCTCAATTGTTTCCACTATTATTTTATTAATCCAATATTTTATTTTCTATTAAGTATTAGTTCTTTACATATTATTATAAAGCCCAAATATTTTGAATGTGAATCTACCATAATAAATCAAATGAACATTAACAAAATTGTACTTCTACCCTTATTTTTTAAGAAACACTACATAAGTTTTCATAATAAAATTCATATATAATTTTGTATATGGTATATATAGCATAATATCACTAAATTAATATATTTCTTATATTTTTTCTTTTATTCAAAAAAATAAAATATTAAATTGATTCTTACAATACTATACGATAACGTATCCAAAAAATTATTACAGTGTTATCATTCTATAATTAAAATAACAGAAATAGAAATTTAAAAATTATTATGGAGGTTATTCAAAAACATGAAAAATAAGTAACCATTTAATAGTGATTAACATATCTAAAATCTAGCTAGAAGGTCATAACAAAAAATATAAGTATAATCTTTTAGGCATAAATATATATGGGTAAGTTAATTAACGGAAAAACAAATTAAATTTAAAAGAAAAAATTAAAATTTCATAACATATATGATTGTACTGATAGAGATTTAATGTAGAAATTAATTAGTTATTATAAAAATAATTTATTATCTTGGAATTATTAATTAGTTAGTGGATAATTTATTGTATTTGAACTAGTTAATTAGTTGATTGTCAGTATTAAATTAGTTGATTACTTTTTTACGATAAGTAATTAGAAATTTATCTATTTAAGAGTGATATTTAGTTGAATGTAAGTAAGTTTTTCAGCTCTTTTTTTTTTTTTTGGATACAAGGTATCTTTATTTTCCAGCATTCCCATTTTTGTTTAGTGTCATCGGCCTCTATTTTTTAACAAGTACTCTAGAAGTAATGTTTTCAGGTAAAATGACAAAATTATGATATTTGAACTACAATGAAACCATAACATTTGCTGCTGAAAGAAGAAAACCAAAATGAAACTTCAATGCAAGGATTTACACAAATGAAAAAGCTCACAAATTAATTCTACAGTGCGGACCATTGAGAATGGATGTGTTTTGAGAAGATCAGACGTTGGCAATAGGAACAAGCACAATATGAGTCTTCTTGCGAGCGGTGATACCCTAAGCTTCCTCCATGTTGATATCTTTCTTGCTCAACCCTTCTGGTAATTTCCAATCAAAATGATATAAAAGATTTGCAAGTGCAAGTCGCAGCGTTGTGTATGCGATGTTCATACCGGGACAACCTGTGCATCCTCCACCGAACGTCAACAACTCAAAGTGTTGTCCGTTGAAATCAATCAAGCTTCCTGCAAATCTCTCCGGCAAAAACTTTTCTAGGTCCTTCCAAATCTTGGGATCTCGTCCGATGGCCCATACGTTAACATGGATTCTGGTCTTTGGGTATATCTTGTAACCGTTGACCTCAAATCCGAACGTGACCTCTCTTAGAGTTAGAAGTGGACCTGGTGGGTGAAGTCTCCAGGTCTCTTTCACCACATGTTCAGGAATTCAAGTTTTTCAACATCATCTTCCTTGACTTCTCCTTTGTTTCTGATTAAATCTCTAATCTCAGCTTGTACTTTCTTCATCACTTTTGGGCTCCTCATAAGCTCTGCCAACGCTCATACATGGTGATTTGCAAACTATCAATTCCACCTACGTATATATTCTGACACGTGTATTTTAAATGTTAATGCAAGCAGCAGGCAGAGTATACAGACGCGTGTATTTTCAGTATTAATGGACATTACTAATAATGTTGTTGAAATTAAGGAGATGGAGTCAGAAAAAGGTTATATCTACCATGAGGATTTCTTTGATATGACTTTTTGTGAGAGTAAAAGAACCTTGTTCCTTCTGCTGCTTCTCTATCTTTAAGAGCACATCAATGATATCCTCGTTCCCTTCTTCTACTTTATGTCCTTCATATTTATCAATTGTCTCTTGCAGAAAAGCATCCAGTGCTTGTGCATTCTTTCGGAGTCTACCAGGGAGACCCGTGAGCCTATCAACAATCCATCCAACATAGGGAAAGGAAATCAGAAGCAGCGAAAGATCCCATAAGTGATGTCATTTCCTTGACATTCCTTTGAAACGCGCCGCTCTCGCATTTATTCTTCTCAAATTTGCCTCAAAATGCAACCCTCCAAACCATATTCGCTATAAGGAAAAACAGCTTCTCGGTTAAATCCACAGGGGACTTAAAAGCAGCAGATTGGGAGATTGATTGAATGAGTGAAGCAACATCTTCCTCTCTAATGTACCTAAATGACTGGACTCTACTGTTGCTGAAAAGCTCATGGACGCTAATCTTGCGGACCTCTTTCCAGTATTGGCCAAAAGGAGTAAAACCTGTATCGAGATAATTGTAAGAGAAAATGCATGTGGCTAACAAGTTGGGTTGGTTGCAAGTCTCGTGAACTTTGAGAATCTGTCTTGCAGTTTCGGCTGAGGAAACGACAACGAAAGATACACTTCCTAGCTTCAATCAGACTACAGGATCGTATTTCTTTGACATCTACCACAGAGATTGATAACGAAGTCCGCCAAGTTGGTGCATATTAACAATGAGGGGCAGCCCTGGAGGATGCTGCTTTTTTGACTCCATCACTTTCTTCATCACTACTAGCAGAACAGAGAGCAGCAGCAAGAGGGGAAGCCATGCTGGGATCATGAACGGAACCAGTTAAACTATTCCTTATGCTAAGCTTGTTTTCTTACCAGCAACACTTGTTTTCAAGAAAATGAGGAGAAGATTATCTTTCTCACTCAAGGGACAAACACCAACTTGTGTGCGCTTCTCAATAATTAGTCTATGCCATTTTTCATCAATTATTTGTTTAGAGAAAGAAGACAAGATCGTTATTTTCTATTGGAAGTTAGTAGTCAACTATTTGTTTAGAGAGAGAAGACAAGATTGTTATTTTCTATTGGAAGTTAGTTATCAAATTATTTAAGACAAGATGGTTGTATAATAAACGGACATTTATTTTCTCTAGGACTAAAAAACAGAAGAAAAATTGGCCACCCTTTCTAAGCTACAAGAGAGATCACTATTTGAACTATCTCCAAACGTGTTATAAGTGTAAAAACTTTTATAAACCACACCATACTTTTGACCATAGCCCTTTGTAACTAAACGAGCTTTATACTTCCCCACTTCGCCATTTTCATTGAGCTTCATTTTATCTAGCCATTTCACACTGACCTTTTTTGCCTCGGTAGGTAAATTCATTACTTCCTAATTATAATTTTTTTTGTTTTTGCTTCAATTTCCATACTCTCAAATACACCTCTTTTTTCGCCTCTTCAAAGAGAATTGGATCATTCATTGCAAACATAGCTGAGTATGCCATGTCTTCTTCCTCAGATAAACCTTTTCCACTTACATCATCATCCATCCAATTCGGTTGCCTTCTTAACCTGTCGTAACAAATCTAAAGTGAAGATCTTTCACCAAAACTAGATGAATTATCTTCATTTAATTCATTTATTAATTCAAGTTCCTCAACGTTGACGCAACCATTATTTTCAGCTTCATTCTCATCTCTAACAGCTACATCTAGTTCATTTTCATTGTTGCTATAATCGAAGTCAACCAAAATAAATTCTTCATGACTTTTGTCCCAATCCCAATTGTTGTTTTCTTCAAATACTACATCTCCGCTTATTATGATTTTTTAAAATAGGATCATATAATCTATATGCCTTTGACTCCTCATTAACTCTAAGAAAAATATCTTGCACTCTTGTCATCAAGCTTTATCCTTTTAGAATCAGAAATATGAGCATGACATAGGCATCCAAACACCCTGAAATGGTCTACAAATAGCTTAGATCCGCTCTAAGCTTCTTCTAGAGCTCTATTTTTCACTATAAGCATTGGATTCTATTGAGAATATAAACTGATCAGTTTATAGCTTCTGGCCAGAAAGTTTTGGGAATCTTCTGTCCTGATAGCATAATTTGAACCATATTTATGATAATTCGATTTTTTTTCTCTGCGACACCATTTTGTTGAGGGCTATATGAAGCTGTTAGTTTTCTTCGGATACCATTCTTACTGTAAAAGTTAGTAAATTCAATCGAGGTGAACTTATCCCCACGATCAGTATAAAGATATTTTATAGTTAAATTTGTCTCTTTTTTAACACGAATCTTATATTTTTTAAAAAATAATAAAAGCTTCTTATTTTTCAGTTAAGAAATAAAATTAAACTTTACGACTATAGTCATCAATAAATCTGATCATATACCTTTTATTGTTATCAGATGTAGGACTGATTGGCCCACATATATCAACATGTACCAATTCAAGAATTTGAGAAGCTCTCAGAGTGTCTTCCTTGGAAAATGGATCTCTATGTTTTTTTCCCACAAAAAAATCCTTACATATTTTCATAAGTTTCAAAGCAAGGCAGTCCTCTCACCATTCCCTTTTATTAGAGAAGTTTCAAACTGCTGAAGCTTAGATGACCATATCTACAATGCCAAAGTTGAGTTGGATCTTTTATGAGAGAATTAAAACAAGTTTCCTCCTTCAATTGTATTTGAGCAAACAACTTAAACATTCAGTTTGAAGACATTTTGACCTCCATAATCAAGCCTTTCTCTAAATGATAGATTTTGCATATTTGTTATTGTATAAGGATTGCAAGTCCCTTCTCAACTAATTGAACAATGCTTATTAAGTTGTTTTTTGATCCTCGAACATAAAATACACCTGTTATAACTTATACAAGACCATTTATCAACATTCGCACATTATCTTTACCCATCACATTCATACTCAAGTTATCTCTTAGTTTCATTTTCTCCCTGAAATTTTCATCAAAATCTAAGAAAATCTCCTTCTTGCCACACATATGATTACTATATTAAGAATCAAGAGACCATTATTTTTTTTGTTCACTTTCTTATCGTTTGTATACGCTATTAACAACATCTCTTCACTATCTTCCACATAGTTTGCTCTTGCTTATGTCTCCTTTGGACATTCATACTGAAAATGTCTAAGTTTATGGACATTCATACTGAAAATGTCCAAGTTTATGGCAATTATAACATTCAACAATGGTTTTAAAACTGCGCACACCTCCTCTTCCACGACCTCACATTCCACCACGACCTCAACCTCATTCTCTTTCTCCTGAAGACTCTCCAACAATGACCTTCAATGCCTGCTCTTCCATAAGATGAGCCTTCATACATTGTTCATGCACTAAAAGACTATTTTGTAACTCATCAATAGTAAGGGCATCTAAATCATTCTATTCTTTAATATAACACACCACATAATCATATTTGGATGTCATAGATCTCAAAATCTTTTCAATGATAGTTACATCTCTCATATTCCCTTTATTAGCTCTCAACTTTTTAACCATAGTAAGAGTCCAAGCAAAGATATTCTCCTTCCTTCATATTCAACATCTCAAACTCCTTCTAAAGAACCTGTCACTGTGCTCGTTGAACCTGTGTTGTCCCTTAATATTTCTACTTTAAAGAATTCTAAATATTTTTAGGTGTATCTTTGTTTAAAATGGTTTCCAAAATTGATCGATCTATGGCTTGGAAGAGATAAGTCTTTTCTTTCAAATTTTTAACTTTGTATCATCAATCACTTTTTTTATACTTCAGTGAGTTGAACTTTTTCTATTGTTGTAGGGATTCTATCTTCCACAATACCCCAATATTCCTTTAATCATAGGAAATTTTCCATAAGCATACACCAGTGATCATAATGTTTATCAAGTTTTGGTATTGCTGGTTACACAAATCCACCATCTATTGCCATATTTTCTTTGTTAAACTTTAAGAAAACTACTGCTTCTTAATTTCAATTAGGCCACTATGATGTGGCTTTTATACCATGTGTTAAAATAGCTTTCTACTTAACACAAATAAACTGGAAATTAGAGAGAAAAGCTTACACCATTAAGATAGTGACTTGGCCATATATATAGCCTTACAAAAGAGATTAAATTGCAGTCACGTTTTACGCATTTACTAATGTGTCAAAAGAATAGGAAAACATATAACTAATTCTAAAAAAATAGATTTATTCAAATCACTAACAGATATTATCATTTGACTCGTCCAAAAGCTGAACTAACTAATTTTTTCAATAATAAATGTCCATAATTTGTTCATGATCTCCCTTGATTTTTTTCCACATATGAATATACTATTTTAGGAAGATATGCTCTTGGTTCGGAAATTTGGAAGGTATGATTTTGATTTTGGCTTGATGAATTTTTAAAATTCCTTGATTTTGGTATTTCTTTTGCAACTTTAGAAAGGTATGGAGAGTCTCACAAAATGAACGCATTTTTATTTAAGAAAACAACTGTTGACACTAAAAAGAATAACCCAATTCCTTTGGGCCTATAACATTAATCAGATTATACCAAAACATTGATACAGATTCTAATCCCTATTAATTTTATAATTAGAAGCATCTCACATATATATAAATATATATGCCGTGTGTATTTGTGTCTGAATTAGATACAGACAAGACACAGATACAAAACCCAAATATGATAAAGCCTGAAATATATATATATATATATATGTATATATGTATATATAAATGTATCAGCACGAGCAGGGAGATAGCTTCTTCAGCTCACTAATCTCCACATCATACCCAGAAATAATATCAATTTTGGAGCCTTTAAGCACCGAACCGTCACCACCATTAACTTTCCCATCTCCACATGCCAAAGCTTTTTTGGATACTACGACGCCGTATATCTCCTCCAGCAACCTGAAAAACGCAGTCTCCACATTGTCACCGCTCAAAGCAGATGTTTCAGAATAGAAGAGCCCTTGATCCTCTGCAAATTCAACCGCGTCTTCCGTCGGAACTACCCTCGACTCCACCAGATCCGCCTTGTTCCCGATCAGCATAATCACGATGGAGTTATCAGCGTGGGCCCTCAGTTCATCAACCCACCTCGCCACATGATCGAACGACTGCCGTCTCGTGATATCGTACACCAGCATTGCCCCCACTGATCCTCTGTAATACGCACTTGTAACTGCTCGGTACCTTTACTTTCATCATTTCATAATCAAATCATTAACAGATATTCTAACTTTGTGATTAATTGTTATAAGTAAGATAGAGAAAATGATTAGAAGGAAGAGGGAGAGAAGGAACCTTTCTTGGCCTGCAGTATCCCAGATCTGGGCCTTGACGACTTTTCCCTTAATGGTGACCGTCCTGGTTTGGAACTCAACGCCAATGGTGGACTTTGAGTCAAAGCAGAAGTTATTCCTGGTGAATCTAGACAGTATCTGAGTCTTCCCCACAGCTGAGTCACCAATCACCACAATCTTGAACACATAATCTATTTTCTCAGGAAAACTTTCCCTTCTTCCATTAATCCCTGCTTGATTCTCCACTAATCCATTCATTTCCTGATTCATCTTTAGTTACTCCAACCACACACACGAATACAGTAAAAACAAAAAAACAAAAAAAAAAAAAAAAAAAAGAAATGACACCCTTGTTTGTTCTACAACTAGAACTGATATATCATTATATAATGAATCTGGGTTGTGGGTATTCTTGGCTTTTAGTGTTGTGGTAAGTTGGAGGGAGTAAAAAGAAAATGAGAAAAAGAACGAACAGGATGAATGGAGTTAGAGAATACGGTCATGTACTTGTCGCCTCTTTAAATGATTCATGAGTCTGCAGCGCATATATGTATATATATTATTGTTGTCATAGTTAGTTTTTTTTTTATATAATTTAGAGGGAGGGAGTTAGTTTAACATATTAATGACAAGTAGTCAACATCCTGTGAAAACTCAAAAATCTTATTGAAGTAGTGTTTTGATTTTTGCATATTAAGGTAAGCAAGTATTAAAAATGGGATTAATGAGAGGAATCGGCCACCCGTAGCCCCCACCATGTCTTAATTAGAGGCATAACGCCCGGGATTAGCCCACTACTAATGATTTTTTAGGTGGGTTTGATGCTACTTATAATCACATAAAGCAAAAGTGATTTGTCGTTAAACCATGGATTTTGCTAAGCAGTTTATTAGATGTTTTGGTAGGTAGAGCATGGAATGGAGAGGTAGACATTGAAAGAGGGTAAGTATACATCTATTTCTTCCTTTTATAAAGTTAAATTTATATACGAATATAATGTATTTCCAAATGGTACTACATTGATTTAATTTTTGGGTATAGTATGTATTAAAAATTTTACACCGACAAAAATTGGGTGCATTAACATCCTCAAGAATTATGGTTAGGGCCCTTGATCCCCTTGGGAAACTACATTGCTCTGTATCAATCAATGCTGCAATTTAGGAATACAGATGAATTTAATGTGTCAAATACCGGAAATTTTCTCAAGTTACTATAAAATATTTGACAATACTCTATATAATACTATTGTCTGATCTGCCTCTTTTATTTACCTTTTCTACTGGGTTGTGCTTTATTTTAAAGCAAAGCTGGAGAGTTAAATATTTGTTCTTTCTTTTTTCTTTTTTTTTTTTCTCTCTCTCTCTCTGAAATTGGAATTTGGTATTTTTAACAACTAGGAATCAATAAAAGAAAATAATTGGTTGTATTACAAGATCTGGGAGACATTGTGGGCTGGAGCTCTATCTTCCCACTAGTGAATAATCTTCCTTTGGGATCGCAAAACCAACATGCCATGAGACTCTGCTTCCTCTCCAGTACTACTGCTGTTAGTTTATTTCTATTTATATCAAATCTTCTTTTTTTTTTTTTGCCTTTAAGTCCTTTTATTGCAATCAAATCATATTTTAACCATCAGTATTTTAATTTTCCGATGATAAGATTAATAAAATTTATAAGTTTAACTAATGTACGAAAAATAATAAATTATAAATTCTATTTCAGAATGACATGTATTTTTATTATAAATCGTGGAATTACCATTATCATTATTATCGTGACGAATTTTTTATGTTTTTTAAAAAGAAAGAATTTGTTAATTTTTCTAATTATTTTTTTAAAAAAATATGAAATCATATAACAACTCTTAAATAAAAATAAAAAAGAAAATTTCTGGTGCAAAAAAATATATGCATATTAATAATAATATAATTTTTTAATTAAAAAACTAAAAATTACTTTCTAACATAAGCACATATCTAAACATTTTATAGAAAATGTAAAAATATTAATTATCTAATCAAAAAATGATTAGTAGTAAACTTTTGTCATGATGTACGGTGAATTTTCAATAATTTTAATTGATATTTTTATATTTTATAATTGATAGTAATTGATTTTGATAAAATTCTTTTTCTCACTTTAATTTTGTCACCATACAGTATTTTTTGTGTACCAATGTGATTGAAAACCAGCAGTCATCAATAATCCTACATTTCTAGTGGCTAATATCGTATCGTATCTCTTTCTCCCACAAGAAAACAACCCCAAGCTCCCCTCTTCCCCACAACACAAACCAAACAATCGCCATGGATACTCTCTCAGGCTCCATTTCAACTCTCAGTTTTTCTAGCTTTCATCTCACACCTCGTGACTTCTCGCACTTCAAATCTCCTGTTACATCTCACCAATCCTGCTCCTCAAGACCCAATTCGATTTCCACAACTTTCCCGCACCATAATCTCACTGCTTCCGCCCACTCCTTCCCTTCCTCTCACGTCGTATCAACTCTACACTCATCTCCTCATCATACCCATAAAAAACCCGCCACCGGCTACGCTGCGGCTCTCATAGACATAGCTCAATCCAACACATGTCTCCAGGTGATCCAAGAGGACGTAAAGAAGTTGTTGAACAATGAGCAAGTTCAAGCCGTGTTGGTAGACCAGGTCGTGGGTGATAAAGAGAAGGGGAAATTGGTGAAGATGGTGGGGAAGAAATATAAGTTTAATAGGTATTTGGTGGGTTTAACGAAGATGTTGATTGAGAGGAAGAAGACGGAGATGATAGTTGAGGTACTGCAGGAATTTGATAGGATTTCTGGAGAGATGACGATTGGGACTAAACTGGTTTTGGGTTCTTCTGCCAACAACATGTCCGGAGAAGATAACGTGTTTGGAATTACCCACAAAGTTGCCTTCAATTTTGTATAAGATAACAAATATTTGAACAAACTCTCTTTTGTTTTACTTCATAATTGACCAATTCTTTAACATAACCACTTTGATTTTTCTTTCATATACGAAGACTGTTTACTTTAATTTTGAAGTTCGTAGACCTATGAGCATTGAAAATCAATTTTGCAATTTAGGAAAGGTTGAAGAAATCTAATAACTAAATAGTCATTCTTTTGCTTGAAGAATTTATAATAAGATCTAATATCAAAACTAAAAATATAGATAAATACTTTTACAAATTTTTTAAAAAAAAAAAAAAATTAACAACTAGTAAGCTTTCATCAATAACAAATAGTTATTTCTTTTTCATCCATGTTTTTTTTTTTGTATAATTCACTTTTTTTTTAATCAATTTCGAGAATATCTTCATTTATAAGTTTGAAATCTATATTTATGAATCGAAATATCTAAACGATCAACTCTGCAATCAATTGTTAGAATCAATAGATTTTCAAATCATTCATTTAAAAAAATTGAAACATTTTTTATAATATTTTAAAAATCAAAATTCTTGATTAATAAAGGAATAATATCATTATTTTTGTTCAATAAGATATTAAAGTAGATGATTGACTCATTTCATATTCGAAAGAGCAAAAAATCTTTTGATAATAAAAATTCATATTTCTCAATGATATTATGGAATCAAGACAATTGGTTAAATTTTGTAAAATTATTTTATAAAATTTTATTAATATTTTCTTCTAATAAAACAAATAGAATTCGATTCTTGAATAATCCAAGTTATTTTTACTTCTATTGTAATAAAAAATTTCACATATTATCATAGTGGCAAGGATATCCCTTATTTAAGTTAGATAATTTAAATTTGATTGTAATAATATTAAAAAGTTTTGTACTTTTTTAAAAAAATAATTAAGTAGTACAAGTGATTTTATCAACAAATTTTGATCTTAGTACATAAAAATATGCTAGTAATTAAATAAAATGATAAGAAAACAAAATTTTGAAATAGAACTTATTCCAAACTGATTAATTCTTTGGTTTGAGTGAACTTTCTCCACTATATTTATGAATGAATCCTTTAGCACCTTTTTTCTATGTTTTGATGAATAGTCAATGTGGGTCGAACCCGCACTCGATGTTAATGGAGAGATAAAGAGGTAAGCATCCGGTAGCATTATATAGAAATCAGAAAATTACTATTTTTTAGAGAAAACAAAAAGAAGATTCACCAAAGTTCTTTCCTGAATTCAACTGGGGATTTCAGAATTACTCTGCTTCTTTTTCCCCTGATGAGTTCTTTTTTTGTAATGCAGAAAACAGAACATATAAAATGATCTTCCTTTTTGGTTGAAAGTTGGGATTGACCCCCTTCCCAGAAAGGTCAAAGCTCGAGTTTGAAAAAGAAAATAATTACTGAACTATAAAACTTAAGACGCGTCTTTCTGTTCAATCATTTTTCCTTTTGGGTTTTTATTTTTTGGGACGAAAAAAGAAATTCAGTCCAAAGACAATTGCCCCTTGGGGTACGGCAGCTCTCTAGCGTCGCAAGCGATCACTGTTTTTTCCTTTCTCGGAAAATCCCTGTTCCTAATTTCCTGGAAAATACTCTCCCCTGGGAGGCTGCCTGATGAATTATCGTAGGCTTTAGCTTCGTTTCTCTCAGGTTCTCTCTCTTTTTCTCTTGCTCACTTTCTGCTCAAGGATTAGTAGAAACCTTTGTTATGGAGCAACTAGACGTGTATGACCTTGTTGACCGAGTTGGTCTGCTTGCCGTGTTTTGTCAACATACATGCAGGGGTTCATTTTGAGCTTCATCAGCCCCTTATCTTGAATTCAGACCCTACTATGTACTCTAACAGTTGCTATTCTTGTTTTCTATTTCAATTTAATGCTTTACATGAGTCGTACATGTGGTTGTGTTAGTACTCGCTTAAGAAGACATGGATATGAGGCTCAACAGTAGGTTTTCTTTAGAGTATAAGATTTGCTGCCGAGATTGGATTGGGTTTTTTTTTTTTTTTTTTTTTTTTGTGAAAATCCTTTATGCCCTGAGGAGTGAAGTTGTAAAGGAAACAACTTTTTCACTCTTCTGTTTACTGCCCAATTAAATTCCAATTGATCCTTGGAAGTCACTAAAAGCAAAGCGTATATAATTTTTTAGTATGCTCATCCTGGTTGACATTTATTTTTTATTCTAGTTTTAGTTCTTGTTTATAATTTTGATGCACTAGCCAGTTAAACAGAAATAACAGTGGCTTAGTTATCCTGCGGTTTTCTTAGCTCTCCAAAACACAATTGGTTTTTCTTTCCAGGCATGAATTGGTTC